CAGGGGTCGATTATAGTTACTATTAAAGCAGGGAGCGCTGAGGAACAGTAGTGGTCATTAGTCAGGCTTCTACATTAAAACCCCGCAACCAGCGATTCTTTAGAGGGTTTACATTGGGGTTGGATAGTTTTGTCATATCGTACTCTTTACCCGGAAACAGAAATTGTGCTTGATCTCATAACTGACTATGACCCTGAAAAGAAACGGATTTGGATCTCTGAGAAAACCTGCAGAAACGGACACCAGACCAGAAGCGTGCAGTGGCGACCCCATCATCATTTGCATCATCATTTGCGTCTGGTGTGCCATGTTCGGCCTCAGTGGTATAACAAACACCAGCTCCAAATCGACCTCCCTGCCGTCGGTGGACAAATCCTTGAACCCCATCGCAACAAGGAGTGGAATAAACTTGGAGAGGCTGCGTCGCAGCTTGTGTGGCATGCTTTAGCCTCAGCGTCCTAGCCAAAGGCTCTGCCAGGCAGGTATCGATGCCAAAGCATTGTAGGCGACGGAGGTAGCTTCGGTGTGCCCACATTGACAAGACATCCGAAGACAAGAACGTGCCATATGATCATCGAATCATCGACCGGACTTTGCATGACTAGTTCACGTGCCCCGACTCCCGTAGCTTCCACATGCTCGGTAGACATTTTAACCTGTGCATCCTCCACAACGGCTATGCCAGGTAGGTATCAACACCGACCAGTCAGTCTTGGCTACGGAGGTAGCTTCAGTAAGGCCATACTACAAAGCAGTCTGAAGACAAGAGCGTGCCATTCTAGAATCTAGAACCTTTCTATCAGGCTGCATCGCAGCTTGTGTGGCATGCTTTAGCCTCAGCGTCCTTGCCAAAGGCTCTGCCAGGCAGGTACCGATGCCAAAGCATTGTAGGCGACGGAGGTAGCTTCGGTGTGCCCACATTGACAAGACATCTGAAGACAAGAACGTGCCATATGATCATCGAATCATCGACCGGACTTTGCATGACTAGTTCACGTGCCCCGACTCCCGTAGCTTCCACATGCTCGGTAGACATTTTAACCTGTGCATCCTCCACAACGGCTATGCCAGGCAGGTATCAACACCGACCAGTCTTGGCTACGGAGGTAGCTTCAGTAAGGCCATTCTACAAAGCAGTCTGAAGACAAGAGCGTGCCATTCTAGAATCTAGAACCTTTCTATCAGGCTGCATCGCAGCTTGTGTGGCATGCTTTAGCCTCAGCGTCCTAGCCAAAGGCTCTGCCAGGCAGGTATCGATGCCAAAGCATTGTAGGCGACGGAGGTAGCTTCGGTGTGCCCACATTGACAAGACATCTGAAGACAAGAACGTGCCATATGATCATCGAATCATCGACCGGACTTTGCATGACTAGTTCACGTGCCCCGACTCCCGTAGCTTCCACATGCTCGGTAGACATTTTAACCTGTGCATCCTCCACAACGGCTATGCCAGGTAGGTATCAACACCGACCAGTCAGTCTTGGCTACGGAGGTAGCTTCAGTAAGGCCATACTACAAAGCAGTCTGAAGACAAGAGCGTGCCATTCTAGAATCTAGAACCTTTCTATCAGGCTGCATCGCAGCTTGTGTGGCATGCTTTAGCCTCAGCGTCCTTGCCAAAGGCTCTGCCAGGCAGGTATCGATGCCAAAGCATTGTAGGCGACGGAGGTAGCTTCGGTGTGCCCACATTGACAAGACATCCGAAGACAAGAACGTGCCATATGATCATCGAATCATCGACCGGACTTTGCATGACTAGTTCACGTGCCCCGACTCCCGTAGCTTCCACATGCTCGGTAGACATTTTAACCTGTGCATCCTCCACAACGGCTATGCCAGGTAGGTATCAACACCGGCCAGTCTTGGCTACGGAGGTAGCTTCAGTAAGGCCATTCTACAAAGCAGTCTGAAGACAAGAGCGTGCCATTCTAGAATCTAGAACCTTTCTGACAGGCTGCATCGCAGCTTGTGTGGCATGCTTTAGCCTCAGCGTCCTTGCCAAAGGCTCTGCCAGGCAGGTACCGATGCCAAAGCATTGTAGGCGACGGAGGTAGCTTCGGTGTGCCCACATTGACAAGACATCTGAAGACAAGAACGTGCCATATGATCATCGAATCATCGACCGGACTTTGCATGACTAGTTCACGTGCCCCGACTCCCGTAGCTTCCACATGCTCGGTAGACATTTTAACCTGTGCATCCTCCACAACGGCTATGCCAGGCAGGTATCAACACCGACCAGTCTTGGCTACGGAGGTAGCTTCAGTAAGGCCATTCTACAAAGCAGTCTGAAGACAAGAGCGTGCCATTCTAGAATCTAGAACCTTTCTGACAGGCTGCATCGCAGCTTGTGTGGCATGCTTTAGCCTCAGCGTCCTTGCCAAAGGCTCTGCCAGGCAGGTACCGATGCCAAAGCATTGTAGGCGACGGAGGTAGCTTCGGTGTGCCCACATTGACAAGACATCCGAAGACAAGAACGTGCCATATGATCATCGAATCATCGACCGGACTTTGCATGACTAGTTCATGTGCCCCGACTCCCGTAGTTTTCACATGCTCGGTAGACATTTTAACCTGTGCATCCTCCACAACGGCTATGCCAGGTAGGTATCAACACCGACCAGTCTTGGCTACGGAGGTAGCTTCAGTAAGGCCATTCTACAAAGCAGTCTGAAGACAAGAGCGCGCCAGACTGTAATTCAATAGCGTGCCAAAACAGAGCAGTACTTTTGACGACACGCCCCTTTCCGCAAGGTCGTGGCTGCGGGTCGATGTACCTGCCTAGTATCCTATATACTTTGGAATGTAGGAATCCTTTCAATGCTTATAGTACATACCATATGGGTGCATGGACTCTTAGGATACGGGGTTTTGGAGCCCCTGGGCTCACTCAAGACGACTGAGTTCAAGACATTCCGCCCTTGGCAGCTGCACCTGACATAGGGCCATATAGGGTCCAGCGTTTAGGGTTTAGGGTTTACTTAGTTGCTGAGTTCATAAGCCCCAAAAAGTGTACACTTTCAGTTGTATAGTGGGTAATATATCCCAAGAAGTGTAAAGTGTATCCACTCAGCTACTAAGTTTATAGATCTCAGGGTTCGGGTTCGGCTCGGAAAACCCCAAACCCCCAAGCAGTTCTTCATGATTCTAGACTTCCATGGCTCAGCCGGTCTATGTATACGCTACCTTAACACTGAATAACCTAGCTTTTTAAATAGGATTCCTTTTTATGCTTTCCCTATATATGTCCTCAAAAAAGCAAGTTCTTCCGGGTTTTTGTAATACCTAAACCTAAACTGAGCATCCCGCCCAAACCCTGAGCCTCGAAGCCTGACGCCCGCTAACAAACCCCAACGTTTGAAGAAGGGCCGCCAGCTTGGGTTTAGGGTTTAAGGTATAGGGTTTAGGGCTTAGGGTTTAGGTTTAGCAGGCAAGGTTCAAACAAAGAAGCCTAAGCCTTCAAAGCCATGAACCCTTGAAGCTACAGACTTGAGGCATTCAGCCAGAAAACTGCCCAAGAAGGGGCCGAACGGAAAGCTGAACCCCCAAAAACTCTAAACCCTGAGCCCTATATACCCTAAATCAAGAAGGCCTACTTAAAGGATCATGGGACTTAGTATGTAAGTCATATTGGGGTTATAAGTCCCCTAAATAACCTACAAATTAACCTTACTTCCTAATTCCCATGATCCATGAAGTCAGGCCTACACTCCCAAAGGGTCCTAGGTACTGACATGGGGCTACTTCTCAGATTCATAACAATAATTCCTAATTTCGAGACCCTACAGTCTACTATACTGGTACTTTGGACCCTTTGGGACTGTACCCTAGCACCCCGAAGCCCGACAAGCCGAAGCCCTGCGGTATACCCCCTGGCCTGCGCCGGCGGGGGTCGGCCTTGGCCGGATGCTGGCACGTTCAGGACAGGGTTTAGGGTTTAGGGCCTTTAGGGTTTAGGGCTTGGAAGTGACCGGGGAGAAAACGGTATCAACATTCATGTCACTACCAGTATATGTTTCCTTTCCGGACCAGATCAAAGAAGAACTGTATATCAGGATTCTTGGAAACAGACTCCGGAACCACAAACAGACTCCGGAATATTAAACATCTATACATCAATCTTGAGCACCTCTGGCTAGGTCCTTCAAGATCGTACTCCACAACTCAGAAGAATGGGTTGCAAAGGAAGGGAGCTTGCGGTAGTCGTCTTTGTAAAGGCATCTAGGATTCATCCTTACCCCCCACTAGCGTCTATAAGAGTCTAAAGCATCGCTAAATACCCACCCTTAGGGATTAATGACCATGAGGGCTCCATTCAAGGGCATTCGGGAAAGATCCTGGTAGGCTTTACTCCCTGAACCCCAAACCTAATTTATAGGCTTCCTTTGTCGGACTTTGGGGCTTGGGACTCTGCTTGACTCGGCCCCAACGTACGGGAGCTCTCAGCAACGTCTGAGGAGTGGACGTCGGCGCTGACTCAGCCTGCGAACACGTAGGGCTTGGAGATTGAAATCCTAATAATACTATAGGCTCCAAAGTAGTTCCTTTTTGGATCTCAGATTTAGAATCCTATAAGGTAATCCCAAAAGGGAACTACTATGGGGCCTCGGCCTCTTCCGTAGGAGTGAAGGGGCCCCGGGCCCTGAATCGATGAAAAAACGCAGCTTCTCAAGCCCCCAGAATCTAGTTCACGGTTGGGATAGGGACAAAATTGAACCTTTATTCCTTATTGGGCTTATAAGTGCCCATAAAAATGTAAAATGTTACCCAACTATGACAAAGGAATCCCCAAGAATTGGTCGGTCGTTGTTTTTCACCCCTCGATGACTCGAAACCGAGACAAGGCTGAGATGCCAGCGAAGGAGAAGCTTCCCAAAGAGCCCAATACCCCTTAATTAAGGAATATACCTTCAACAGTAAAGGGGGTAAAGGGGTTCATATTTCAGCTTTAAGCTATATTCCTTAGGGGTATTGGGCTCTCTGGTCTTGGCCCATGATGCTCACAGTTCCATCCGGGTTAAAAAGGCTGCCATCAGAAAAACTATGATTTTGCAGGCTCCAGCTGTTGCTCCGGCGCCACTAGTTTCACTAGATGCGGTGCAAAGAGGAGCCCGGGAAAACGAGAGGGTTTCTGTCCCGTTGCCTTTTGCATAGTAACCTTCCTGGATGCAGTTGCCCGTCGTAGGAAGGAAGCTCTGTGGCACTCCGACTGCATCAGAACACCTCATTTCAATGCTGCCCACGTCACAGCTCTTCCCAAAGTCAGGCACCACAGTGCAGGTGAAGTCGACAACGGAAGCAGCGGCGGAAGAGAAGCCATCGTCAGTGACGGTATAGGTGTTCCCCTCCTGGCAGCTGAAACCACCATCTGCTGGCGCCGTCAGGGTCCATGTCCTGGGTTCTTGCTACGGAACTTACTTTAAGTTACCACAATAAGGACACCACACTATTTCCTAGAGATCCCTATATTCTGGTAACACCTTAAAAGCCCATAAACTCTAAAGTCTCAACGGACCGTTCATATGGATCCCTATGTATGGTAGCTTAAATTGAAAATCCTTATAACAAGACCCCAGTGTCACAGTCCAGCCCCATGAAGCACGGCCGGGTACAAGCCCGGAGAAGAGGTGGATAGCTACAGAGCCCAGTCCTGCCGCCAGCGCCTTCGACATGGCCGAAGCTTCATAAGTTCTGTGGGCAACTCTCGAGCACAGTGCTGACATGTAGATAGTATAGGGACCTCAATATTTTGGATAGGGCTTTGGGGGTATATTATGTATGAGAGAACTTGAATAAGGACCCCCCCCAATAGTATCGGTATTCATTGATGTAGGCCCCTACCCTAATGCTCCGAAGAGGGTCTTGGGCTTTCGGCGGGTTTCGGCTTTGGGGGCTAGGGAGTGGGATCTCACTACAAGGGTCCATCAGCCTTAGGGTAGACCCTAAACCCTAAACCCCATAGATCCGTTTAAGGAACCCCATAGATCCCTTTAAGGAAGCCTACAGCTCCCTTTAAGGAACCCTATGGATCCCTTTAAGGAACCCCATAGATCCCTTTAAGGAGCCCTTTAAGAACCCTTATAGAGAACCCTTGGACCCTTTGAGTATCGAATGTAAGGTCAAGCGCTGAAAAGAGGTGCTGACTTGAACTTGCCGCGGGCTGTACTTAGAGGATCATGGGACTTAGTAACTAGGGTCCCCGTTAAAGGGGCTCCTACAAAGGGATCTATAAGGGTTACTATTAAGGGTTCTATATGGGCTTGGGGGGTACATTTAGAGGATCATGGGACTTAGTAACTAGGGTTATAAGTAAGGTAACCATACTTATAACCCCAATTAAGGTACTTATAACCTTACTTACTAAGTCCCATGATCCTTTAAGTAGCTGGATATCCACTGAAGCTTTTTCAGGACCGGGCAATGGATCCAGCAAATCTAGAAATATCGGCTGGAACGCACACTCCTAGAGAGCAGCAATTACAAGGACTGATTGCGTCACTAGAGCAGCAGTCGCAAGCGCAACCACCACGACAAACAGCACTCCCCCAGCAGTGGCGGCCTCAGCAGCTTCAAAAACTGCTCACAACTACGGTTGAACTCCGGGAAAATGTTCGGAAAGAGAGGCATTCAAGACGGAAAATTCTGGAAAAGTATCTCCCCTCTGGGCCACTCCCTTGAGGAGAGACCACTAACACCCTAAAGGCAAGCCATCAAGAAACGTATCTCCCCTCTGGGCCACTCCCTTGAGGAGAGACCAATTACGGCCTGAAAGAGACCACTTCTAACGGCCCAAATGTTAGGCCTAGACAAGCTCCGCATAAGCCTTTCCCTCCTTCCGCCGTGCGACTTTGCCGCTGGCTTCAGGATGGAGAAGGGTATCCTCGCCTGCTCTTTCCTTCCAAAATCGTTGATCCAGGATCGAGATTCCTAAAACTAAGACAAAAATTAGGGTGCCCGAATCAGCCAGAACTGCCATCCACAAGTCGAGCTTGCCATAGAAGGCTGCAATTCCTTGCAAGAGCTTGAGGAAACAAGGGATGGCTATACTCAGCCTCTCGATTCGAACCGCATACCTGCACATGCGGATGCACCGCGAGAGGCTTTGGAGTCTGTCTGTGAGCATGACGACATCTGCCGACTGTGCGGCGAGAGCAGTACCGGTCTCACCAATAGCAACGCCCACGAAGGCCACCGCCAAGGCCGTGGCATCGTTGACTCCATCTCCCAACATCAGCGACTTCCTGCCAGCCGCCTGCTGTTTCTCAACCCACTCCGTCTTCTCCTCCGGCGCCATGGAAAAGCGGCAGAATTCTGGATCAAGGCCAACACTGGCAGCAATGTGCACGGCTGCAGACTCACTGTCTCCAGTCAAGATGTGGGGCCTCAGTTGCAAGGTCTTGAGCTCTTCGACGAATCCGACTGCTGTTGGCCTCAGCATGTCATTCAAAGCAAGGCCGTACTCTAGCATGCCATCAACGATCAAGGCCACTGTTGTGTCGTTCTGGTGCATCTCTTGGAAAGCACGAAACTCCTCCTTGCACTCAGACGTCACAAGGTCCAAGGCCTTGCTACTTCCAAGAAGCACTGTGTGCTCCTTCGTCCCAAGCTCCAGAACCCCTTGGATGCCTACGCCTGGCATGTTGCGAACCCTTTGCACGACGGCCAAGTCGGAGCCGTAGGCATCAGCGACATGGCCCAAAGCTCTTGAAACGATGGCCGCAGCAATGGGGTGCCTGGGGTCTTGTTAAGGGATTAAACTTATGTTACCTTAATAAGGATCAATAGTAATTAACTAAGTATAAATAATACGGTTTCCTTTTTCTGGTAGTTTACATTATATCCATTATTAAATCGATGAATAGCAAGAGCCCAGGTGCGCAGACTTCATCTCCAAAGCAGCAGCCAGCTTTAGTGCCTCCCGCTCTTCCCACTTCGAAGACTTGAAAGCCTGAACATGTAGAACTGTCATCTCACCTTTGGTAAGCGTCCCGGTTTTGTCCAAACCAACTGTAACTACTGCTGGCAAACGCTCAACCGTGTCAGGCCGCTTGATCAGCACGCCATGTGCTGCCGCTGCTGCAATTGCACAGGTGGTCGCCAGCGGCGCACCGATTACAATGGCACAGGGGCATGCTATCAGCAGCAGCACAATCGCTCGGTGCCGCCACTCTGCATAATCACCACCACCCAGGATCGCCGGCATTGAAGCGGTCAGGAGTGCTGCGGCCAGAACTGCTGGGGTCCACCTTTGTGCGAATCTGCTGATCATCATTTGCCTCTCAGTGCGCTTGGCCTGCGCATCCTGAACTCTGCCCTCAATTTCCGAGAGTCGCGACTCCGAGGAGGGCTTCGTGAGCTTGACTTCGAGGTAGCCATTTAAGACCAAAGTTCCGGAAGCCACTTGAGCTCCTTAGTTGCTGAGTTCATAAGCCCCCCCAAAAGTGTACACTTTCAGTTTTTTAGTGGGTAGCATTACCCCAACAAGTGTATACTTTCAGTTTTATAGTGGGTAGCATTATCCCAAAAAGTGTGTAAAGTGTATCCACTCAGCTACTAAGGCTCCTTTGGTCTTTTCATGTGGCGTAGCCTCGCCCGTCATAGCAGCGTCGGAGCAAGAAGCGAGCCCGCCGATCACAAGGCCCTCTGCTGGGCACTGCTCGCCAGGTCGCAATGCGATCACATCTCCGCTCTGCAGGTCTGAAATCCTTACTCCCCCAATAAGCCACGCAAACAAAAGGTCAAACTTTCCGATTCCTACTAAACCACACGAACCCAAAAAGTTTAAAGGTTGAGTATTGGAGATCTGAGAATCTCTACCTGCTGGCCATTTTTTGCTAGCTGGACTGTGCGGACCGTCTGGAGTTGCATGACCGCGCGCAGTACTCTTGCAACACGGCGGACGGCTGCTGCTTCGATTATCTTAGCCAAGTTGAACAAAAGCACCACTAGACCTGCATCGAACAACTCACCATGCCACGCAGCAGCAAATACTGAAAGAGACACAAGTAAAGTGACATCTAGCAGAAGCTGCTTCATGCCCTTGATGGCTTCCCACAGAATGCCTGGCAGTCCGATGGCAATCGCCAAGATTTGCAGGCTGCTGCCATCCAACCCCACACTTCCAAGAAGGCCACTTGAAAGCATACACAAGGCAGTGCCAATCACGACGAAGATGCGGGTGTAGCGCCGGCACCACTCGCGGCAGTTCAGCTTTTGGCTCTGAGTTTCCTCACCTCCCCGTCCAAGAAGAGATGCACCCAGCCCTGCACTGTTCAATTTGCTCAATATGGTCTCTGGAGATGTGCAACATGGTGAGCAGTGTTCCACAATACATATTTTCTGGAAGCTGTTCACTGCCACAGTCTGCACACCAGGCAGTGGCCTGATCACCCGCTCGATTAATCGAACTTCTGCGTCACAACAGATGTTGCGGATGCTGAAGCGAGATTTCACGACAGCGTGCTCTGCACAGCTGCTGGGAATGTCCTTGACAACATCTGCGCCGCTGACTGGAACGTCCTTGGGAACATCCGCGGAGACATCATCTTCCGCTTCCTTCGGCACTTCCATGCACCCAAAACCTCTGCTGCTGCGAAATGGGCGGAATCCACCCGTCCGACCATGTGAGAGTTGTGGCTGTGGCGTGCCTGGCATCTCGAATCCATGCTCCGCGCTGGCATCCTGCGGGTTGGAGTCCATCCTCTGCAAGCTAAGCAGGGCCCCTTAAAAGCTGCCAAAACGGCTACGGAGAGCTGTCAACATAAGCCAAAGTGAGGTTTGACGGCAAGGGACCTGTCGCAAGGCAAGCCGGGTTTTAGTGATCATCTACTGAGGAACTTAAGTACATGTACCGGGGTTTATGAAAATGTGGGATCTTCTGTTTGCGGGAGGCCTCGTTTGTCGGGAACAGAGTACCTCGGTTGATGATCTAAATCCTGCCTTACCCATAATAAGGAATATACCATAGATCCCATAGTTTAGGGTCATTAAGCTACCCAAAGGGTCCTAGGTACTGTGATGGGAGATACTTCCCCAAATCATAATAGTAATTCCTAATATAGAAACCCTACATTCTACCATATTGGTACTGTGGACCCTTTGGGCTAATGCAAGATTTATACCATCAACCGTTCTGCGGTCTCGACCTCACCACTCCAAGCAGGTCGAGTTGGGCGCGATTCGCAGCCGCTTCAGCAGCAAACTACGGAGCTGGAGTATGTATGGGAGTTTCCGAAAATAGGGGACCCTAATATGGGACCCTAAATGGTAGGATCCTTATTATAAGGAGCCCTAAATAAGGTACCCCCAATTTTCGGAAACTCCCTCATATACTTCGGCCATAAAGAGTTCCTGCAACATACGGACTTTCAAGCCCTTAATATCTACTTTGTATGGAGCCTCAAGGTTAGAGTGAAGGAAGGTTTCTCACATCGCTAAACCTCCCGATGCACCTTCGGCGCCGGCGGCTTTCCTGGTCAAATCGGAAAAGGCATATACCCTTCAACACTATCCCTAAGGGTCCAACGCACCAATAATTAGGTACTTGGTTTCGGATAGTTGTTATGCAGGTTGGTATTCGGACAGTAGGTGATCATGAAGTGTTCTGTTTCAAGTTCCACTCTTGCCGAGAGCCCGAGCTTGTCTTCGCCGAAGAACTTCTGGTATCATGGGGGGTTTCAACAGAACGGCGCGCCACTCATGCTGTACTCAAAGGCTCAGAGTGATGCAATATTCGTCAAAAGCCCATTATTATTATTGTAGACTCAGGAAGTCTACATTAATTATATAAAGAGTAACTTCAAGACCTTATTCAAGCCCTACCTCAAAGTCCCAAGTACCCTTCCTTCTTCCCTGGATACGGATCTTAAGGATCCCTGTAAGCTGTGGCCAAAAATCGTGGAAATCTTTTACGTAGGGACCTAAAAGAAGGTTAATATAACTTTTCAACTATGGTTGGTTTTTACGAACCCCCAAACGTAAAGGATTACCTACTCTGCTACTAAGTTTAGAGCACAGAAGATCAAACAAAACCTGCACACACATACCCCAAGCCCTCTACACACGCTTCTAGTCCCTATGTACGTATACAGCTACAGCACAACATGCCCAATAGTCTGATGAGTAATCATGCAGCCCCTGTCTAAGGATTGAAGCCGCTATCCTAAGATGCTGCGAAACCCATGTAAAACCTATACCCTAAGTAGAAGCCCGAAGGGTCATGGGATATAGAAGCCCTACATTTTACTATATTGATAAAAATGCACCCTTTAGGAAAGAAGTTTTCAGGGCAGCCGAGCCTGAGGGCGACGCAGCACGGCCCTGCGGAGCCAGAGAGATGCATGCTTCGAGGCTTGTGGCTTCGGGGTTTCGGGTCTAGGGTTTCGGATTTAGGGTTTCTGGTTTAGGGTTTACTTGCAGGATCGTGGGACTTAGTAAGTAAGGTTCTAAGTACACTAATTAGGGTTGCAAGGTAATTGTAAGTATAGCTATCTTACTTATAACCCTAGCTACTAAGTCCCATGATCCTTTAAGTAGGCTAACAGAAGTGCAGGTGTGTAGCTCCTTCGTTTGCGGGTCCTTGTAGTAAGGTTGCTTGTCAGGGAGGGGTCTTGGGTTCGTGACTTGGACGTCTTAGGGCTGCAGACTTGGGGCCCTAACTCTCTCTCTCTCTCTCTCGCTCCCTCCCTCTCTCTCTCTCTCTCTGTCTTTCTCTCTCTCTCTCTCTCTCTCTCTTTCTCTCTCTCTCTCTCTCTCTCTCTCTCTCTCTCTCTCTCTCTCTCTTTATATATATATATATATACATGCATATACGAGTATATACATATATCAACCCTAAACGGCCCCAAACATTCAGACGACCCATAACCCCCTCGCCAAAAGAACGCCAAAATCCCCGCAAAGGCTGAAGTCCAGACCTCTTCCTCGGGCTTCTTGGCGTCATCTCCCTCCTGATGTTTTCGGATTTAGGGTCTATTGGGGTTTAGGGTTTAGGGTTTAAGGGCTAAAGGGCGTATAGGGTTTAGGGGTTTAGGGTTCATGGGTTTAAGGGTTTTAGGGTGTAGGGATCGGAAGGACTGGAAATCGATGGGGCTTCCTGTATGACTCAATTGTTCACGGTTTCGGCTTCAGGAATCTTGCTCCCCTTTGTCTCGTATTCTTCGGCTTCGGGGGTATTCGCTAGCGCTTCGGTTTCGCTGTATGTAAGCAAACTGAAATGCTCTTGTGAGGGATCTTTGTGGTGGCTCGGAAAATGTGCTTCGTAGTGTATGGTATTACTTAATTGGCATGGTATTTACAGTGTGGGCAAACTTGGATGCTTTTGTGACAGATGCTCTTGCGACGGATCTTTGTGGTTTTATAAGGGTTTAGAAAATGTGCGTACGGCAGGCAACGATTTATGTAAGTATGTTTGGTTTAGGGTGTGGTTGAGACTCCTAGTTCAACTAACCGTGCGTTTCAACTTTTTCGATTGGCCCGGCAGTTGTCGAGGTTAGGATTGAGGAAGAAAAGAAGAAATCCTAGAACCTAAACCCAATTTAGAACCTAAGCCCTATAAACCCTAAATCCTGATGCCCTGGACCCAAATACGTAAGAACCTAAACCCTTATAAACCCTAATGCCCTAAACCCAACAACCTACCTAGACCCCCCAACTACCCTCTATTATACCCTAAATACCTACCCACTATTTTTGAGGACCGCAAGGGCACCATTAAAAGGACCATTGGGGGGTCCTGGAAGAACCCCACCCCCAGTACACCTATAGTCTCCATTTTACTTTCTTTTATTGGTTAACCAAGTTTATATTATGGGATCCCAACCATAAAATTGACCAAGAAAAGGCACGATAATGCAGACTATATGGGAGTTTCCGAAAATGGGGAGCCCTTATATACTACCCTAAAATAGTAGGACGAGTATTACAAGGATCCTAAAAGAAGGTAACCCCAATTTTCGGAAACTCCCCGAAACCCTAAACGGTTAAAGGAACCCTTAATAGATCCCGTTAAAGGATACTTGAAGGATCAGGGGACTTAGTAAGTAGGTTATAACTGGGGTTATAAGTCCCCTAAGTGGGGTTATCCTAATTATAACCTAATTATAACCTTACTTACTCAGTCCCATGAGCCTTTAAGTAGATCCCGTTAAAGGATATAGGGCTGAACGCGAGCATGCCCTGGCCTTGCCGTCGGCGCTGGGCTTTTCCTCCTTCTCCTCTTCCTCCTTGCGCTTCTTTTCGGCCTGGGCCCAGAACCCTATGGTGAACCCCAGAAAGTTGGAACATGGATTTAGGATGATTCATGCTGGGTTTCCCTTTTCTTTACTTTAAGGGCATGAGGCTACCGATGTTCCGACTTTTTGGCTTCTACTGTAAGCCCTAAACCCTAAGCCCTAAACCCTAAGCCCTACAGGTGTGTTGAGGGCCCTAAACTCGTCGGCCCCAAACAAATTCCGACCTCATGCCCAGAGACTCCAATATCCCTTAATTTAGGAATACCTAGGGTTCCTTTAGAGGGATCCTGAAAGGGATCTATAGGGTTTAGGGCTTAGGGGATTCTAATATCCCTTAATTTAGGAATATACCTTAAATCATATAAGGGATCCTACTATAATTTAAGGTATATTCCTTAATTAAGGGATATTGGAGTCTCTGGGTGCTGGACCAAACCGTAAGTAAGCCCGAGTCCTAGTCCCTCAACCCCTAACCCAAAGCCTTAGAACCCGATGCTAAACCCCATATACCGATGCCGTAAACCTACATCGTAGGGCTTTTAGGGACGTGAGTACAAAAAAGCAGCCGGGTTTTTTCGGAGGCAGACTCGACGTGGTGGGCAGCATTCCCAGAGTTACACAGCGTTCACCAAACACCAGTTCATGGTTTATGGTTCAGGGGTTCGAGGTTTAGGGGTTTAGGGTGCCCAAATACCCAGAAGGTCAGTTGCTTGTTCTGCTTAGGATCCCCCCGTCAAGGAAGTGTACAACGACCTTTAGAGTTTAGAAGCACCCTTTAACTCGTATAAGACCTGTGATAAAGCACAAACCCAAAAAGCTGTCACGAGACCTTTATGGGAAACATGCCCACACATGATACACACCGTCAACGAACCCTACTAAACCCTAACCCCCCTCCCCACCCCCCACGTCACAACACCCTAAGCCCTACCTCCTGCCTTAAACTACCACAACCCACTTTGTAGCTTCTTACTATAGAATTTATAGGGGCCCCACAAAAAAGTGGGTTTGGTAGTATAGAACCCTTAATAGTAACCCTTTATGGATCCCTTAAAGGGTTCCTTTAAGGAGCCCTTGTTATTAAGTCCCATGATCCTCTTAAGTGAGGTAAACCCTGAACCCTAAAGCCTATACCCTAAACCCTAAGCCCTAATCCCTAAACCCAAAGCCCTAAACCCTAAACCCAAAGCCCTAAGGCCTAAACCCTAAGCCCAAAGCCCTAACGCCTAAACCCGAAGCCCAGAGCCCTAAACCCTGAACCCAAAGCCCTAAGCCCTAAACCCAAAGCCCTAAGCCCTAAACCCTAAGCCCTAAACGCTAAGCCCTAAACATGTTTCAAACCCCAGAGCCTCCTCCATAGCTCGGCACTCGGCCTCTCGCTCCTTGCATCGTGCCATAACCTTACTACCCCGATACTCAATAACGCTTTAGGGTTTAGGGTTCAATAGGCCACAGAAATACAAGGTT